GTAGGGACGTTCCCCAGTGTGGATGTGCTGGTGGCTGAGGAGGTGGGCGCTCTGCCTGAAGCTCTTCCCACATTCTAAGCACCTGAAGGGCTTCTCCGTGCTGGGAGGCTGCTCAGGGACCACCAGGTCACAGCTCTGCCTCAAGTTCCGGTCACCTTCCCGGCACAGGCTGGCTCTTTCCTCCTCAGAGCACCCTGGGTTGGCTTTGGAGCCCCTCCTGCAGGGGCATCTCCAGGCCTTTTCCTCCCCGCTGCCTTCCTGCGCCGTGGAGCCCTTCAAAACGGCCTCTCCCACCAGGGTCTGCCGGGGGGATTTGTCCTCCGGGCTCTCTGTCCTCAGCTCGGGGCCTGGGGCAGGAAGCAAGAAGGACAGGGAGGGGATTTGCCTCTGGCCCACAGGGAAGGCCAAGGACATCCCCCCAACTCCGGCCCCGGCAGGACGGCGGCGGCAGCGGGGTTGTCCCGCAGCCGGGGGCCATGCTCGGCTGCCAGAGCCAGCACAACACCGGCCCAAAGGGTCACTGACTTCCTCCTCACCTGCCTGGGGGGCCCGCAGCATTTTCCTCTTCCTCGCAGCCTCCTCCTCCATCCGCCCAAGCTTTGAGAAGGACAAATCCTGATGGGGGAGAAAACAAGGGCTGAGCACATTAGCTTGGGGGTTCCTCCTGCCCAAGTCCATCTCTAGAACTCACCGGGCATCCTGGGACCATAAAAACCTCCAGAACACCAAGATTCAGCCCAGAAAAGCCAAACCACCAAGATTCAGGCAAAAAATCCCTCAGAAAAAGCAAGAAGACTCTCGCCCCCAAAACTGCAAAAAGTTAACATCTTGCCAAAAAATACTGCAAAACATGAAGGTTACCAAAAAAAACTCTCCCAGATGTTCCCCCTCTCTGGTCTCTCCCTTCTGGGGTTCAGAGGGTCTCCCCTGGCTGGGATGCTGGGACTCTTGGGGGGTCCCAAGGGTCCCTTCTCCTCTGACTCTTGCCTTAGGGGTGCCACACTCCAAGACATTCCCCCTCTCCAGGTTTTCCACTTTGTTGTCCCGGGGATCCCAGGGGTCTCCACTGTCCAGGCTTCCCCTTCTCCGCACCCCTTGTTTCAGGCTGCCGGGGGTCCCCCACCTCCAGCATCGCCCCGCTCCGCCCTCCACACTCGGCAGCTCCCGGGCTCCACTCCCACCCCTGGCACTCCCAGGGGGCCCCAAAACCGCTGTGTCCCCCCCCCGGCACCGGGCTGACAATGGAGCCGGTGGGGCCTGACCGAGCAACACCAACCCCCACCACAGGGGGGGACCCACATCCCCCCGCCCACCGCTGGGGCTCTGCCACCAACCCAGTCAAGTACCCCCAAAAAACTCCTCCCGCCCACCCCCAACAGCCCCCAAAGGCCACAGCCCCGCACAAGGGCCGGCTGTGCCCAAGGCAACCAAACAGCCCCACAGGAGGGGGGACACCAGAGGCTGCCCCAGGGTAACAAGAGCAGGGAGTGGATCGGGCCCCCTGACACGTGGGCGGGCTCTGGATTCAGCCTGACCAGGGGGAATTTGGCACCAACAGCACGGCCCCGACCGCTGGCTCGGCACAAGGGGCCCGAACTCCCCAATCTCCAGGCTCTCGGGGCTCTCACAGCTCCCCCCTCTCTCCAGCCTCCCCCACTCTCCAAGGATCAAGGCAAGTGTCCCCAACAGGAATCAGCAACCAGCAATATGCACAAAAGGCCCCCTTGAAAATTTCTGGGGAATGTCCTGCAGGGAGGGGACAGTGTCACCCCACCAGGGCGGGGCTGGCAAGTGGGAGGCTGCTCCAGGGCTCTGCAAGAGGCCTCGTGCTCTGCTCGCCCCCAGCACTGGTTGGTACCAACACCCCCGGCTGACCCCGGCCCTGGGCAGTTCTGCTGCCACAGGCTGTGCCCTCACCGTGGCCCTGCAATGGCCCTGCCTGTCCCTCACCCGTGGCCCTGTCCCTTGGCTCTCTCTTTGCCAGCTGAGTGTGGGGCACACGGGCTGGGGGTCCCTCCCAAGCCCCCCGGGCAGCCGGCGTTGGCTGGGGGGATGTGAGGGCTGGGCCTGCTCAGCACAGCCCCGGCCTCGTGCCCAGCCCCTCTTTCCTGCCCCACACAAGAGCTTCCCGGCCCCCCCAGGGCTCCCCTGCTGCTGCCTCTGCTCCTGGCCCTGCCTTTGCTGCTCCCTTGGCTGGGGCAGCGGCTGCAGGGGGGGGATGGCAGCAGCTTCAGTTCCACAGCAGTTCCTGGGGGGAGCTCAGCCCGCGGGGGACGGGCAGGGACCTGATGGGGATGGACAGGGGCCCAGCAGAGACAGCCAGGGCCTGCAGGGGAAGGCACAGGGACAACCTGGCCCCCCACACTGCCAGGGCTGTCTTTGCTCCTCCTTGCAGGCTCCTGCTGCCACACTCTTCCTCAGCCAGGCCACCATCCACTGGCCCTCTTGGCCACCTGGCCACACTCTGCCTCCTCTTCAGCTTCCTGGCAATCCACACTCCCAGCTCCCTTTCTGTCTGGCTGCTCTCCAGCCACTCTGGCCCCAGCCCAGGGGGCTGATGGGGCTTCTTGTGGCCAAAGGGCAGGACCCGGCCCTTGGCCTGCTTGAACCTCATCCCCTTGCAATCCAGTTTGGCCAGGTCCCTCTGCAGAGCCCTCCTGCCTTCCAGCACATCAACACACCCCCCAGCTTGGTGTCAGCTGCACATTTGCTGATGAAATGCCTGGTTCTGCAGCAGTTGCAGATGCTCAAGGGGCAGCAGGACCAAGTCAGGGGCCTGGGGGCTTTGAGGTCCCTGAGAGTCCTGGGGGAGCTGGAGAGGGGCTTTGGGGATTGGGGGTATAAACCAGGACAGACCAGTACAGACCAGGACAGACCAGTACCTCCTCACTGCTCCTCAGATCTCTCCTGGAGCTGGGACACGTTGGCATGGGACACCTGAGCCCCCCCCAGTGCCCTCCCAGCACAGCCCAGTGCCCCCAGTACAGCCCACTGTGTTCCTGTCCCACAGTGCCGGGTGATCCCTCTTTCGGGGGTGTTGGAAGGGATTTAAGGGGGGGCTTGGGATGATTTGGGAGGATCTGTGGGGTGTTGGATGAGGAAGTGGTACGGTTTGGGGGGCTTTGGGTGCATTTAGGGGAGTTAAAAGGGGTCTTGGGAGGTGAAAGGGATCTGTGGGGGGAAGAGGATTATAGGAAAGAAAGGGGAGTTGGGGGACATTTGGGGGAGTTAATGGGGCCTAGATGGGGAGAGGAGGAGCTTCCCTACGAGCAAGTGAGTCCTGAGACCCCCCCTGGTGTCCCCAAGACCCTTCTGGTGTCCCCAATTCCCCACTTGACACTGCCAATTCTACTGTCCACAAACATCTCCCTAGTGTCCCCAGACCCCATCTCTGATGTCCCCAACCCTCCGTCTCACCCCAGGAGACCCCCGTGGACCCTCTGACCAAAAACACCCCCCCACCCCCCCATGCTCACAGAAAGGCCAAGGGCATCTGGGGACACGTTGGGGACATGATGGGAGGCTTTGCAGGGCACTGGGTAATTACTGGGGGATACTGGGACACACTGGGGGGAACCAGGGGGCACTGGGAGGGACTGGGGGGTTTCTGGGGGATTACCAGGACACACTGGGGGAACACTGGAAGGTTACTGGGCCATACTGGGGATTACTGGGTGCTCACTGCAGGATCACTGGGCCATACTTGGGGGCAGTGGGAGGTCACTGGGACACACTGGCTGGTCACTGAGGGGGTTACTGGGCCATACTGAGGGTCACTGGGATATACTGGGGGCACAGGGATCCCCTTACTCAGATGTGGTGCATCTCCCCC